ATCGAACAGGCAAACGGTCAGTGGAATTTTTGCGTTTTCTCACTCCCTCGCCAACCAGCACGACCAGTACCCGTGGGGTTGCGATCAGCGGCTGGATCCGGACAACACGTAGTGCCCGACCAAATTGTCTAGACTGTTGTATGACCGTGTTGAACGAGGTCAAGGTGAGTATATATATATATATATACACACACAAACTCGTTTCCACCGTCGTTAGGTCGAATTGAATCAACCCTAATGATGTGATACTGTCTTTTCCTGTCTACCCTAATTAAACAACCCTACGTGATCAGTATAATGGGTCTGTGACTGTGCCAATTTGGATAGTAACCTTGCTACCTCTCATTTGTATTTCACTGCTATCCGTTACTCTTGATTTCAACAACCAATTAACTGCACACAACAGGTTTTCTTTATCATGAGTTCCATCCGTGCTTCATGCATTCAAATGTACACTACTACTAGCTGTAAAATGGTGGTTAACCGGTGTAAGTCGCTTTCACTGATACCATATGTAGAAACAAATGATCAGCGGTGGCGGTAAACTGAAAATTGGCAAGGTTAGGCTCACGCAACGCTTTGGCGGACAGAAAACACAGTAGGGGCTTAGGCAGTTTATTTCTACGTAAGCCGTGGTTCTACAGAAAAGGTAATCAATCAATAAACGATAAATTCAAGCAGACTTACGATTAGTTTACTTGATGCCAGCTTGCAGTCAATTTCAAACGTGGAGGTACAGAATAACGTGTAAATTTGTGATGCATTCAAACCAAAAAAAGGTATACAGTTATAAACACAGAAAAACAGCAATAAGAAGTTGCTGAATGAATAACCGTACAACTTTTGTATTCTGTCATTTGGCATCATATCTTCAGTGTAACGCAGTCAATGTATATTGTCATTTATAATCGAACTACTCCAATATTCATAGTAGTCAAACTGCAAACGCTGTAACATTCAAATTCTCTTCTGGAGAATTTACACCATGGTTTACATCTAATAAGTCAAACCCGAGATCATTTGTTTTTGATCGGGGTTTGGTAGAAAGATCTTACTTTTGTATGATGTGTTTTGGGGTTGAAATAATTGCTTTTTTCGGGTGTTCCTGGCTCTCCTGTTCACCATGCTCATTCTTCGCTCCGCTGTCTTTTTAAATGTGCTATTTCAGACCGCGCACGAATCCACGATACCAGATCAGCTTTCGTTGCTCCTATTAAACAGTGTGACTAAACTGATTGCCGCGCTCTATTTGCAAGAAGCTACCACATACGTGACTATACTGAAATCCAAGTACGTTCGATTTTGGCACACATGTGCCGTTCACTTCCTATCCATCCATCCAATGATTCTTCCGTTTGCTTGCCCAATGAACGCGTGATCCGTAAGTACTTCTCGGAAGAAGCTGGCTGACGCCATGATTTGTGACTGTACTTCATTGTCGTGTTGCGAAAAATAATTTAGAAAAGTTTCATATATATCACAGTGATAAAAAGCCATAAAATGTAGGATCATCCATGTGTACTTTCTTAGAGGTTCACGCACAACCTTCTCCTTGTTTTAGTTAACCACGGACTAAATGGTATATTATACGATATACTGAGGTTTTTCACACTTCAACAGTCGTCAGCTTTACCCAGTGTGATGGCACTGCTTTCGCGAGCTTGCCCACTCGCATTTCTTCCCAGTTGGTTCATGATAATTAACATCTTCTATGTTGTTGTCGTTCTACTAATGAACGGGAACAGTTTTTAGTGCCTATGCAATTGTTCCCTGAGTTCCGTTTGTTTTGTGACGTTATCACGACTGATGCGATCCCTTCGGGGTCTGGAATGTGGGACAAACGTGACCTCCGGCACCTTTTAGCACTCAGATAATGCTTTAAAAAGCAACAAATACAGACTGTTTCTATCTTTTTTGAGTGCATAGGTTACGTATGTTGTTCTGTTCAAATATGAATGCTGATGAATGACCAACGGCTTCGGATTGTGAGTTCGTTGCACGGGCGAGGACAAGCAAGTTTGGGTTTAACAGCTCGGGAAACCCAACTACTCCATGCTTCCTACTCCCCTCAAGTTCTACTGTGTGTCATCTGTTTTTCCCGGAGTTCACTCTGTTTGGTTCAGTCTCATCAGTCAATGTTGTTATTTTTTTCATTTCAGGCCAAACTTTTGGAACCTGCTTACCGAGCCCATGTTTTTGTTGCTCAGTGCGGATGTCAAAACTCAAGTAAGCGATGAACTAGATGCTACCCCAATGTCACTGTTTCGGTCTCTAACTAATTTCCCTGGTTTATTTTTAAATGTGGGGTGGTGCGAGGAACTGTCCACGTTCACTTGAGGTTGAACGCGTTTAGACCTCGTTTAGCCTCGTTAGATGCATATGAGTTTAGTTTATCTACTGAGTTGCGCTCGTTCAGACAAGAACCGCGAAATCGGTCGTATGCTTCGAGGGAAATTTTGTACGATGATTCATATACTGCTTATTGTAAAATGTTCAATGAAGACGCCTAAGTCGCACTTTTTGCGGTTAGTAGCTTCTAACCCACCTACAAATCATCGAACCATAGCATTAATTCTTCAAGAGACTGGTCCTGAAAGAGCTTCCCAAACAAATTTATTCGGTGTTGCAAATGAGGTTATTGTAAGAAATGTTATATATATATATATATATTTCCTGTGAAATCCTAAACTTGCAGGAAGATATCCATCGACCAGAAGTTTTCCACTATTTTTGCTTAGATAGCTGCGCACGTGGGATGGAGTGATCGGGTTGGTAGTCTGGAACTAAGCCGTCGCTTGTTTGGACGCTTGTCGGGGATAAATTTGCTAGGGCATCGAATTCCGATTGTGTACACTGTGTGCCAACTATCATAGTTCACTTTTCCGTTCCCTGAGAATGGGTCCAATCTCTGTCTATCTTGCATATTTTCACTTAGTTTGTATGCGTTGTGAGCTGTGAAGCTACCGAGGAAGTTCGGTTCATTCAATCTATTTTACCATACGATGATAATTACATTTTTCCCCCTCTATGCGCAGCGGGAATTCACTCAGGTCGAGCATGAATATTGCGGACATGTGGCCAGTATTTTGGGATTGGAACTTTTCTGTTCACAAAGGTGAGTTCGTGATCTCTCCTTCCCCGTCCTTCTTCGCCCACTAACCTACTCCCAAGTTGCACAGTTTGATAATTACTTACTTACTGTTGAATCAGGCAAATACACGTTCTCTGTACTAGGATTGCACTTGACCAACCTCGTTTTGAATAGGCGTAGTATAACACCACTTTTAGTTTCAGCCGGTTAAAAGCAAAACTGATTATCGCCAAGATCAAGGAACTGTTTGTGTTCGACAGCCTGCCTATCCCACCTAATTATTTTATGCGCGTTCACTTTAAATATTAGTCTAAGCTTGTACTGTCGATTCGCCTAACTAAGAATTGTTCGAATAAATCGATTCATGAAATCAATACACTTATGAATGTAGTACAACCTTTCATCCTCCGTATCACTCCACCTTTGTTCTGTACGCTCCTCCGGCCCAAACACACAACCAGTTCCTATCTGCACGGTGACGGTATTTACCGTTGTCAATGGTTTCGGCATAAGTCACGAATATGTTTTGCACCGAGTGCTTGTTAGGTGAAAACTCGCCACGACCTCATACATCGTCGCAATTGTCCACACTCGGTTAGTTCTCCCATGTCACATCTGATAGTTAACAGCTTCATCGACCTTGTGCTCTGCCAGAACTGAACAGGTACACCCCTTAGCTTGGGATTGGTAAATTACTCAGAGTCTCAACAAATCATTTGTTGTTTTAACTTGGCCTAGCTTGTTTCGATTTCTCAATCCAACTCCAGGAATGTTGGTCAGAAAGGCCCGCAATGCTTTGTAGGTTAATGAACTAGACAAAGATTACCGAGTACTCGGTGTCACGCGCTTTGAAGATGCCCAATGATATCTCAGCTACCCAGTGGCACTCCTTGTTCAGTCGTGATGATCTAATGACGTTATTCGACCTTCACCAATCAGTCTTGATCATAACGTTCCCTGCGAGACAGCGGGGCGATGTGTGAAAAACCGCAATCCATTGGGGGCCGGTGTCCAGCTCACCGGGTCAGACGGGCCTTAGACGGGGTCAAACGTCGAAGGTGCACGGGAGGTGTGGGTGTGGTTCGTACGCCTCCCCTTGGTTGGTTTGGAGTCACGGTTGTTAGCTGACTCCCCTATGTGAATTGCCGGTGGTTCATCCACCCATTTATAGCTCCGGACGTTGGCTTTTCGTCCTCTCACATTGATGGGAAACCACCTCTGTCACGTGAAGACGCTGAGTAGGACTTCCTCAGTAGAAGCTTAATGTAACGCTTGGTCGTATAGAAGCATTCCACAAAGTATAAGGTAAACGTGACCAGTCGCAATTCAGGACAGCCCCCCTCGGAGCAGTCAAAGGCTTTTTTGTGCGATGTGCTCTCCTTGAATAATAAAGCTGCAGTTTTCATGCAGGCTAGCATTAGCTTTTGTGCATTGCAGTGATCAGTTGTAGAGTCCGTACCAGGGTAGGTCATCTGACTTTCTTAGTCGGCTAAATACTTCGTCTTGGGTAAACTGGGTCCACGAAAGACAAACAATAAGCTATACTGGAAGGCACAGGGGGAGCAACTACAGCCCCAAGACTGTCCGCATTCATACACTTGTCTGTTTGCTGCTTCTTCGGTTCACATAGCGATTTAATTAGTTTTCTTAAACGCTTGCCGTTTTCAAATGAAGGTAGATATTTATCATACTTCGAAAAAGGTATCCGAAAGCTTCAGTATGGTCCGAGTGGGTGTCTTGGATTGTGGCCGGTCACCCGTCCATTGCACCTCAGGAAATGTTTCTACACGACCAAGCGTCTCAAACATCCTCTGTTGAGGAAACCCTGCTGACTGCGTTCTCGTGGCGGAGGTGTTTTCCCACCAAAGTGAATGNACGAAAGGACGTAATCCGGTGGTGAGGGGGGGCTATAATCGAGTCGGTGAACAACTGCCAGTTCTCACCACGGGGCATGTAGCTGAGCACCCTAATCCCAAACCAAGAAGAAGAGGTGTAAGAACCACACCTCCCTTGGTCGTAGCAGTGGTCATCGGCTCAATCGGGCATCGAGATGTATTGGACACTTTGGACGTTTTATCCCGTCCAAATTGCATATGAAC